TCATTGTCATTGCTGGTGCTCTGGTGGCATCCTCATCTCGCTGGCAGCGGGAGAGCACACAGACCACATATGGCTCGGCTCATCCTTCAGCAGCAGCTGCAAGAGCTCCGCGTTGGCTGCCTTCTCGCGCTGCAGCTGACTGGCCAGCTCGCTCAGCTGACTCTCAGTGCCATTGGCGTCGGTCTGCGCTTCACTGTCTACCATCACCTTGGACAGTTTCCTACAGGCCATGAGCGCTGACTGCTTGCCATTGATGCGCAGGAGTGGCTTGATCGGCGGCAGGCGCCCAACCACAAAGCGATGATGGCGCAGGGCAACGTCGCGCAATGTTTTTCTACGTTGTGACCTTTTTTGGTTGCGCGCTGCCCAGCCGCTTTTGCCCGAAGGTCTTTTCTTTTGGTATTTGGGCGGCATGAGCTGGCTGTCAGCCGGATTCAGCAGCCATACAAAACTAGACGATACTACGCTTGAGGCTGAGGCTGCTGAAGATCGACTTGCCCTGCGCGCGCTCCATGCCCTGAGCGCGCTCAACAAGTTCAACACTCAGTCAGAAGCCTTACATCTTACAGATTCAAGCGGCTCAAGATCTGTTTGGTTGCTTGGCCTCGAAAGTGAAAACCGGAGCGCGTGCCCATGCAGGATACCTTTTGGTTTCGGGTTGCAATTCTCTTCGAGGTGGCTGGCTGTCAGCCGCACAGAGCACGCGGGTCTTTGCCGCGACGGAATCTGGAAAAGAGCTGGATTCTGCCTGACAGCCGGAATGCCTGTAAGGCTCTTGCTAGTCAGGCCACTTTTGCCTAAAGCACCCTGATTCGAACAATGCTTCGGAAGGACCCAATAAAAACACCCATCGCGGTCATCCGACTCGTCATCTTGTCCTGGCGCTGTTGGGGGCGCTGCCGGAGGTGGAGCCAACAAACGCATCTTGCCTTGGCGAAAGAGAAGCTGCCCATCATCCAGCGCGACCAGCCACTCCCCAAATCTGCTGGTCTGATGGTGTTCCACTTGAAGAGCCATGTGTTCGGCGGGCGTGCCATGCGTTCAGTGGGTGCGCCGAGATGAGAAAAAGAGGCTAGATGGCAAATTTTACAATGCAAGTACAAACGTTTCACTTCTGGCTGGCAGCCGGACGCTGCCTGCGCAATGTCTGGTTTGGCGAAAAATAGGAAATGAGCAATGTCGGAAGGTATGAAAACCTGTACTTTTTACATCGTTTATCGGAAACTCCGAAATGAACTATTTCTGAATTGCTATATCGTGTTAATTTCCGAATTTCTGAAAAATTATACTTTTTTACATAGTTTGGTGGAAATTCGGAAAGTAACAATTTCCGAATTTCTGAAAAATTCCTTTTTTACATCGTTTGGCGGAAATTCGGAAATTAACAATTTCCGAATTTCTGAAAAAAAAAACTTTACTTTTATATGTATAGTTTGGCAGAAATTTGGAAATTAACAGCTTCCGAATTTCTGAAAAACTTTACTTTTTTACATCGTTTGGCGCAAATTCGGAAATTAACAATTTCCGAATTTCTGAAAAACTTTACTTTTATGTATAGTTTGGCGGAAATTCGGAAATTAACAATTTCCGAATTTCTGAAAAGCTTTACTTTTTTACATAGTTTGGCGGAAATTCGGAAATTAACAATTTCTGAAGTACTGAAAAACGTTACTTCTTTACGTAAATTCAGAAATTAACAATTTCTGAATTTCTGAAATTCTTCAACTTGGTGTCTCTTAACTCGGCTTGGTGTCTCTTAAACTTGGGATTTCTGACGGCCGGGATTTCTGACGTGTGATTGTTGGGGTCTACAGAGATCTAGGGTTTGTAGGGTCTTGGATTCGCCTAAGACATCGTCTATCTTCCTTCCTGGAGGTCTCCCTAATTGGAATACACACACCCGATGGGTTTGCTCCAAATTCTGAACTGCTTTACTATACTGCGCGACTCCAAACCGATCGGCGCGAGGCTTTGCAGTGAAGTCTGGGTGAATGGAATGGAAGGGCCGAAGTCAACATGGATGAGTTTATATAACAACCGTTGAACTGTTTGTGGATCAGGTCTCGTTTTTGTCTTGGGTGCTGCAAGCAAGTTCCACCAAGAGCTTGGGTTTGAGATTGGGCATCCTGATTGGCGCATAATGCCCTCGAATCAAGGAACATGAAGGTTCGTGGGTGTGGACATGGGTCTGGAAAACCCTTCTCTGCATCGAAGTGGACCCCCAAAAAGCCGAGCCCTGTGTGTTCTGTGGGATTGGTTCCGTCCTTCACCAGATCCGATGCCAGGCTTTCGGTCATCTGCGCTTCATCCTCTCCTGTCAGAGTCGGCACCGAACGAGCTTCCGAAACTCGTGGATTTGCTCGAGAAACTGGGAAAATACACAAAACATCAAAAAAACATACTTAGCGCTTCCAAGGGGTGCCCAATGGAGACCTGTAAGTAGTGTGGAGATATCCATTGGTGACCCCTTGGAAGCAGCTGGTACACTCTGACGAACACATCACATGGAAGTGGATGGCATCGTCCCGTATTCGTCAGACTCCTTTCCTTTACGAAGCAGGGGGTGAACTCCACTTGCATGTGATGTGTTCGTCGGAGTGTATTGGTATATTCCCATGCCATATATGCCTACATTGACTCCCCAAATCACCCCAACTGATCGGCATATATTCCATACATGGAGCGTATTCCCATGTCTTCCCCTTCTTTCCAGCGATTCACCCACAGTGGACGTACAAAATCACCCACAACCTGGGAGGAACCCCATGAACCAGGGTTCCCAGCGAAGGGGGTGGGTTTTTCTGTTCAGGAAGTTGCCGCAGAACGCCAAGCACGCCAATCCTGAAGAGATGTTTGGAATATAACATGCGGCATACCGCATATATATATATCCCAGACACTCCATGTATGCCATATATGCCTACATTGACCCCCAAAATCACCCCAACTGATCGGCATATATGGCATACATGGAGTGTCTGGGTATATATACATGAACCAATGGCCAGCGGGGGGGTTGGTGACTGCAATTTCACCAACCCCCCACGCTGTCTGTTCGTTGTCACCTCCACCGTCGACCATCGGGTGACGGGACCTCGGTCTTGCCAAGGTCTTCAGGTTGGAGTTCACGGAGTTGTGATGGTGTCCTAAACCATCAAAATAGAACACACTGCTCTACAACGCTGCAAGCAAGTAGGGGGCTTGTGATGTAAATTCATCTGAAAGCCAGTGCATGTTTGGGCCTAAATGCCAATCTGGCAGCAGCCAAATAGATCCGAGCCAACGTGGTACAATACAATTGCTGTGGATGTACTTCTCGAAAGTCCCCGTAAGACTGCCTTGGTCGACCTTCAAAGATCGTGTATGGGTTCCCATCCACCTCACCTGTGGTCATTGTTTTTCTTGGTCGCTTTTGGTCTTGAATCTGATCTATCAGGCAGCAGGCAAGTCAAAGAGTCAAAGAAAACCGGGAGTTCAAGCAACCTCTTGGGAATCGAACAAAAGGTCGCCCGTCATCCTCGTAACCGAATTGGTGAAATTCCCTCATCCAATCCATCCACTTGTGGCTGCACAAGATTGGCAAGCACTGCCTCAATGGGATATCACAGATTTTTCAGAAAACATCCAATCCCTCAGATGGGCACGAGTCGCCGGCTATGAAACAAATCACCCCAGTATATAAACCCCTGCCACGACCCCGGGAACGGGCCTGTCTCCGTGACCATCATGTTTGAAAGGCCATCCTGCCAGGAAGCAATCCTCAAAACATCTCAAAACTAACTATACACTATACACCCGGGAAAATTAACATGGAACCTGAAAATGGACCTTTGGAAGACCAGTCGTTTTCAGGTTCCATGTTGATCTTCCAGAATGTAATTAGTTCTGAAGTTGTGATTTGACTCAAGACAATCGATTCCTTTCAAGATCATTGCACCTGTCGGGATGAACATGGTTGGCATGGCTCTCTTGCCCGACAGGACCATGTGCAACATGGCCCATTACACTTATGAAAACTCTCTTCTCTCGCCCACAGCAAAAAAACTGTTTTTCTCACTGTTTCATCAACAAAGCCCAACCACTCTTCCCAGAGATGGCCACTCACCTTGCAGATCTGGCGTTGGTAGACCTTCTCATCAATCGTCCCGGTGGTGAAGAGCCGGTAGATGTAGCACGGCTTCTTTTGCCCATCGCGCCACACCCGTGCCATCGCCTGCCTGGCGAACAACGCAAGAAACCCCAGCGGAGCTAGGTTTTTCAAAGGCAGAAGTTCTGCGTGTCAAACGCTCCATGTATGCAAATATTGCCTACATTCACCGCTAATAACCACCACATAATGGACCGCATGCGTGGAACGTCCGGGTATAGTTGACGAACGTCCACTCTTCGGACCGATTTCTAGGTGACCAGGTGCAAAGTCAGGTCCTCCAGTCTTACGTAAGAATTCCCAAATGATTCTCCTGTCTACTTCCCATGTCCTCCCGTTCCTGGTCCTCGTCTCCCACTTCCCAGTTGCCCTTCTTGGCAGTGGCTAAACGCAGAGCCTGGGTGTGAAGAAGTAGAACCACACAGGTTTGGGGGGCAGTTTCCTCCAGCTTGCAGCTCGTCGACCCCAGCTCGGAGGACACCCATCCGGCACCGAAAAAACGCTTCAAACAGCTACCGGCCCCCTTTTTCAGAAGGGGTGACCTGAGGTGATTGAAGTACTGAGTGGGATGATCCTCGTGCTCAGTGAACATGGCGTTCGAGCCAAGAAATCACTGACATGTTCGAGTTGTTCCTTCGGAGCTTTCGGGAGCCTGGGTGCTTCTTCTGATCTGTGTTAACTCAATACGCTCAAAATGGTATGGGGTTGGGGGTCTCCACCCGACAAAAGGTATGAACATGTGACTCTGTGACCGGGCTGCAAAGAGGTCAAAAACATGTCACTCCTAAGATGTTTGCAGGCAAAATGTCCCATAATACCCCAAACAATTCGTGGGACAAGATCATGGAAAAATCCTTATTTACATTGACCCCCCCATTCCGCCACCCCAAATCTCGGAACATATGCCAGTCCCGTGCCAGTATCTGGTGGGATAGGGTAGGTGGAGGCTTCATGGCTTCACTTCTTGCTTCACCAACGCATCCCCTCCCGGGCCTTCGGACCATCCCCGCGCCGGGTCGGGGCACGTTCCACCCGGACGTCCCGGTTCGGCGGCCTGTCGTTGGCCGGGTTCCAGTCTGGGTCGAACATCACCTGGGTCCGAAGAGGTCTTCCAAAACAGAAGCCATGAGGTCTTCCAGGTACCCAGTGGTTGGGGTGCAAGTATGTGCAAGGTGTGGATTTGGCAGGGTACGCGAGAAGATGGCGAAGGGCAACAGCCACATTTTCGCCCAAAGGGATCTATACGAAGGGGCCTTTCTAAAGATCGGAAAACATGAGGTGGGATTAGAAAGGTTTGCGTTTCTTCGTTGGAGCCGCTGACACACGGCGGTAAGGGAAATCCACTCCGGTGCCAGCAGTGAGAATTGCCAAAAAGGATCAATCAAAGAAGCGCAACCCCAAAAGAAACAGCCTCCACCTCCACCATTCCATAATCCATCGATGAATCGATGGTCAAAATTGATCTAAACATCTAGTATTTGGTAATCACGCTGAAAAAATAGTAGGTAGAAGTTCGATTCCCAATCAGCCAGAATTCCTGAGGCTGAAGTCGAACTTGACCAACTCTTGCCTGTCCTGGTGTAAAAGGGCGCCAGAACTGTCCCACTTGAGTGGGAGCAGCATTTGCATAATTAGCATTTGCTGCTGGCTGCAGATCATGCAAATCATGGTGGACTTCCTTGCACTACAAATGCTCTGAACAGAGTCCATGATGGAACATCCAACCTCTTCAAGTTGGCAAGCTCTCCCATGTGCTCTTCCTGTGCCGTGACAGCTGTACTACATGCATGTTCAGTGGCCAGGAAAACGGTGAGTTAGAACTCACTGGGCACTGCAAAATAGCAGCTAATTACTTCAGTGCCACACGAGTGGAAGATTTGCTGCTGTGTCTCCCTTCCGGGGATATCTGGGTATTGTATATCTATGCTGACTCATGCTGAGATGGCGATGAACACCATCCCCGGTATACGAAGCAAAAGGCCCAAAGCCGCGAAGATGCGCGCGTGGAAACCCTCCACCTCCTACGGACGTGGGTTTTGCAACGAGGGTGGATCTTGGACACCACCGGGGACCTAAGTGGTGGGTGCAACATCTAAGACCCACAAAAATGCGAGAAAACTCGTGGAGGCCGGCACTGTGACAGTCTTTTGCGTTTGACCCCGTTCACAGACATCTCATAATCACACCCCTTCATTGGGCCATAGCACCTTCCGGCGGGTTTTGCAGTCGAGACCGCGGTCTCTGGTCGCCCATATCACGCTCTGCCGACGGAGACAACGGTTTCCCGATGAAGCCGAAGCGGGTTCTGTTGTCCGGTCCCGCGGTGGAGGGTTCTGTTCAATGATCCCAGACACTCCATGTATGCCATATATGCCTACATTGGGGTGGTTTTGGGGGTCAATGTAGGCATATATGGCATACATGGAGTGTCTGGGGATGTTCATATGTACTCTGTCCGTGTGTTGAAGTTTTCCTTCTGGAGGATGACGTGGTTTGATACTAAAACGAACAGCTTGTGTTCACGACTCCTTGAAGCAGCAAATGCCGATGGCCAAACCAATAACTCCAGGAAGGCTGGCGACCATGGGGAAGGCCACCGAGAATCCCAAATCCAAGTTCGCTTGAAACCATGCGACCTGCGCAATGCCCCAGATCACTCCGGACCAGATGGCAGGCACGATGATGCTCAAAGGTGTGAAGCTCTTTTCCCGCTTGATTCCGAGATAGATGAACAAGGCCAAGGTGGAGGTGATAAAAATGCCAAGGAAATGGCTGAAGACATAGTCCATGATGTCGGAGCTGTGATGATCCCCAACGATTCCCTCCTTCAACGCCGTGGGTAGCACGAAGGTGGTGCCAAAAAGCACGCCAGCAGTGATAGACATGCAAGAACCAAAGAAGAGCTGAAAAATCGTGGCATCCCCAGGCAACGCTGCTATCCTTGGATGTGTACAGTAGATTTTAGGGAAACACTATATACTCCCCCCGACATTTCCAAACAAAGCTTGTCATTGTAACACAATCTTCTGATCAGCCTTCCAGGACTCAAGTCAGCCTTCTCATCCTTTGCTCCGTCTTCCAGGCACGAGCTAGGCCCAGCGCGCGGGTGGACCATCTCAGACATCCATGACTGGACACGTTCCACCCGAGGCAGTCCCAGCGGTTCCGGTTCCACCTAGCAGATGTTCACCGATAGGACCAGCGCAAATGTTAAACCAGAGTCGTTCAATGAAAACAATATATCTTATATCTCTGATTGGAACCCGTGAATCATGTACACTACGTATGATTCATTATATTCGAGTATATTCATGAGAATGATTGGTGATCCAGAATGTTCACAAACATGGATGGATAAAAGCATGATGCTCAGCTGCCGGCTGCCAAATAAATAGCAAAAAGATCAACAAACATATACAAAAAGTCATGTTCAAAAGGATGCTTGGTACAGCTTAGTACTGACCCAACCCCCACCTTTGAAGCCTGCTGGCCGTACCTCATGGATTCTTCATCTTCAGGCTTGATCGGCGCTTCGGGCTCGCGCGGCTCGCAGCTGGGTCCGCGCGCGTCTTGCGCCGGTGACACGTTGAGGACCGAGGAGACGAAGAAGAAGACCAAGGACAAAGCGGCCAGGATCAAGCCCATCAGGTTCAACATTGGCTCGTGCACCACGTCTTTCTCCAAACCAAAGAGGCCAAAACGCCCAATGAGCCATCCCACCAGCATGTTGCTGAGATCCCACATCGTCAAACCTGCGGTGTTTTGTGAACGTTTTCCGGCACAACTTTGGAGGGTCGATGTTGTAAAGAATCGGATCTACCTCAACGTCTCAAGTCTGAAGAGCTAAAAAGTCAAGTGAAACAAAAGGTATGGCTTAAGGCTTAGCACAGTTGACCGAGCCCGAGGCCAATCATCTGAATGATCTGGGGACACATGAGATTTCCGAGCATCCACACTGCTCCACCCAGTGCGGCTAAGGGCTCAAATGCTGGGAAGCCATCGCTGGTCAAGAACATGCCAGTCCAAAGTCCCACCGAGAGAATGCCAATGGACATTGCTGCACAGAAGAAAATGCCATCTCCGGTATCAAACTTCTTCACTGGTAGATAATTGACGGCAAATCCCACGCCAGCCACCGCGCAACAAAGGTGACCCCGAAGCAAGTCCATGAGTGGATGCTGGGGGAGGATCCTAGAGGATCGGCAGGATCTACGGCTCCGGACCAACCTTCGGGCCACGAGTGCATTTTTGCGGGCTGTTCTTGGTCCTGCAACCAATGCTTGAGGTGAGTGGGAAGAACATGCCACCCCCCCAAAGCGAACTCTTGACTCAAATCCCAAAGATGCATCATGAATAATCATGCATAAAAATGCCTTGCTTGGCCAACCCCCATCTATATAGAAATCACTTGGGAGGGCTGAGTCCGCAATTCGCAGGGACCGGCGGTGTTTGTTCTCGCATAGTCCACTACTTGGGCCATGCCTGCAATTGAACACTTCAGACCTGGATTGATGTCTTTGATCAAAAAATAGCTATTAACATCTATTGACAAAGCTGTCATTCATTAACCTGGCCTGCAAAACAAACAAATGCAACTTCTGAATACTTGATGGATAGATCTAAAAGCACAACTGAAATATAGAACTAAGCTAGACAAACAAATGCTGGGATTCCCGAAAGCACAAGGACACATGCTGTGATGAACACCCATTTGGGCCGTCTGGCGTGTCCCAAGACCGCTGGGTAGAAAAAGATGACATCAGCATAGACCCCAAACAGTATCAGCAGGAGTGTTTTGCATCTTGACAGGACCCGCAGACCCGCGCAAAGCCTGACCACAGTAGACTGTTTGGTGATTAACACAAGAATCGACTAAGCACGTATAAGCACGTAATTGGACCACCAACTGCCAACAAACCAATTCGCCAACAGACATGAACTCCTCATGCCGCACCCTGGTTCCCAGTTGCAGCTCTGAACTTCTTGAGGTGTTGGAAACCGTTGGCCCATCCCATCCTCCCACCCCCCCACCAGTCGAGTTGCCAAGCGATTGGCGCCAATCAAATTGAGCCCGCAGCCGCCCGCCTTCCTCGAGGGACTACCCCAACGGGGGGGGTCCAAGCAAGGGATCGACATGGACCTGAGGGGTCCACCAATAAGTCTTTGGACTTCTTTGGGGTGAAGAAAAGTGGTGAAGGGTTTCTGTAGTGTCATAGAGTGTCCCCTTCTGCTTAACCTAATTTACTTGCTGTTTTCGAGATTCCAAAAATCCCTCGAAAAGTCCTTCCCCTTTCCACAATCTCCGACGACCTGGTCGACATGAGTCCAACGGCACATGCTCCCTCTCCTGCTGTTCTCTGCCGGGTCTCCCGTAGGGGCTTGTTGCGTTGGCAGGCTTCCCTGTCTCAACTCCAATGGACGTGACTCAAAAAAGAAGACCTATAGGGCCTAGGGACCCTCAGCCTTTTGGCCCAGTTTCCCTAAAGCAAATAAAGCAGTGGGTTTGGATTCTGGATCGTACCCTCATTCTTAAGCGTGTTTGAGTCGTGTCCATAGGCCAACGACTCGTGACATTGTGCTGTGGACACTTAGTTGAAACGAACAACATTGAACCACATCCCTTGGTTCCAAACCCCTGGTTTGCTGACATGATTCCTCCTTTTCTGGTTTGCTGTTCCCCCTCCCCTTTCGGGCCGTTGGCGGGCCATGACGCACGCAGCCCAGTCAGTCAGATGGCTTCAGTCTCCATGCGGGTCTGCTGAGTCCCCCCCCCAAATGGCCGCCAAGTGTCGAGGACAACAGGAAGGCAAAGGCATGCTCGTTCTCCGGGCGATTGAAATCGGTCACCTGCCACCGTCACGGGGAACCCGTGCCGCAGAACATCGTTTCGGAGGTCCAGCGTCGGCCGTGTGAAGGTCGGGATCACCGGCCGACGGATCGTGTGAAGGTCGGCGTGACATCGGTCCATCGGTCGATTCCTGGATCTGACGCGACCTGGATCTTCACATCAACATCTGATATAAATACTTAATCTGACCATGGTTTTTCCCGTAGCTCAGATCAACCCTTTTTCAGATCTGAAGATATCTGAAGTCAGAGAGCCCAAACTCTGGGTCTTGGTCAGGTTGCTAAGGCTCAGTCGGTCTCAAACCGTATCTTTGCTGCATTTTGCTGCTGGCTACAAACGAGTACCCTGACATTCCACTTTGGGGGGCTGTCCAATGATAGACCCATAATATGGAAAATGGACATGGAAAAATGCTTGGGTCCCATTCCCAGAAATGGACAAATATCGGTAGTTCCAGGGATTCATTGAATCCTTTGTTTTTGACATGTTTCCATGTCTCTGAATACACTACGACCTTACATGCAAATGGGTTGTCTCTTCATTTGAGGAACCCCCAGTTCAACACCTTCAAGGGAAAATAGACACGACCACAAAGCCTCCTAGGTTTGAGGGTCTCCCTCTCTCCCCATTGAATGTATGCGAGCACATTCCCAAACCATCTGACCCATGGGCGTTTTCCATGGCTTGCTCCAACCTTATGATGAGATGAGGCTATGAACCTGTACCCAATGGGGTCCTTCTGGCACCCGAGACTGATTCTTCTCATGATAAACAATGACCCTGGCCCACAGCCATATCATCACTTATCCACCCATTAAAACGCTTCCTCTCCAGATCTCTGCCGAAGAGCCAGCTTCATTCGCTTCATGATGGCCATGCTGCCGTCCAAGCGGTGCGTGGGCCACTTGCATTGTGCGCCTCACGGCGAGGGCTTTTGGAGCGTCACGGCGTCGCGGAGTCACGCGATCCGCGGATCACGTGGGTGTTGGAAAGGCAGGACGCCTGTCCTCCTGGCTACGTCGATGTTCAGGATGTGGCCAGAGCGTCGGACGCCAGCGTCATTTGGTATATGTGTCTGTTCCCTGACCCGAGGGCTCAAGGGTAGCCTAGGGGTGTGTCTGGGAGCGGGTGACCAACACGTCGCAAATGGAAAACGGTTCCCTGACCATGGGTCACAGTGGGACCTTGGCACCTCTCTTCGGAGACCTGCGACCGTTAGGCCCGTGAGGCCCTGCCGGTAGCAAAGGTCCCCGTAGATGTCATGCGGCGGAGATGGCATCAGTCCACAGTCCACCTTCCTTCCGACCATCCTCGACCTGCCCCCAGAAAATCCAGCAATCCCGTTCTAGGCTAGGTTTGGCAGACCCTCAAGGGCCTGGTTTGCCAAAACATTTGGTCTAATCTTTGACTGATACAGATCCTCCGACAGATCCTCCGACTGATATAGATCCTCCTACAGAATCACCTAACTTCTAAACAGATCCTCCGACCTCAACTCCTCAACAGCCTACGACGCATATATGGCATCAGCCAACTCATCCTTTTCAGCCTACGACGGCATTCGACGGTTGAACAACCCCCGGAGGACCCTCCGAGGCGCAAAGCCGCTCGATGAGGTCTAAGGTCTGCGTCCAATTGGAGATCAACACGATCCGATCCTCGGTGTTAGCGGGTGGTGTTGGAAATCTCTTCACCTCCCTTCTTGGTCACCATTCCTCTGGTAGTCTGGCTTGTGCCCTTGGGACAAGCTTGTTTGATGCTTTGTTTTTTGCTTTTTGGCTGTGAATCTGAACAAGTTCAGCTCTTCACTCCATTTAAGCGATGTCCAAGCGTCGCCGTTCCCACTAGCTTTGATCTGTGCCAAGATCTGGTGGACCAAGGCCAACTTCCCCGAGAGTTCCTGTGACAGCGTCAAACACAGGCGAGCCACAAAGCTTGAACATTGAAATACAGTACTACTCGCGGCGGAAATGATCAATGGAACTGCCAAAAAAAGCCCCCCTTGGATGACCAAGGGGGGTTCCACTTAGACTTCCATGAAAATCATTTTGAGGAGTGTACTACTCCCTCCCAAATAAGGCTGAGCAGCTCACCCCATTAAGTCCCATCATCCCCCGTTAAGTCCAGTACGAAACCGACTCGTCACTCTTCAAAACACCTCTGTGTGATCCAGGCCAGCGGAAGCTTTCAAAGTGGTCACAAAGGGATTAAATCATCGGTCTCTACTACGGTCTCTATATCTTTTTCTATCTTGAACCACCCAAAGCGGGTCAACATGACAACATCGTAGTGCTCGTTATCGCTGACCTCTCGCTTCCCGTGACACACGCTTGATCGCGTTCCGGTCACATGTGCAGCTTTGAACACGGAAACTCGATGATTCAAGCTGAGACTCGATGTGAATTGCTTCATCTGCGTCCTCTGTCCTCTAACGGCATCCTATGACCCATCCTATATGGCCCCTGGAGGGCGTCGTTGAACCACATGGTCTAGACCCGTGGATGGAGGATGCTGCAGTCAGATATGTTGTCTTTACTCTAGGAGGTCTCGAATGAATGGACATGGGGCCCAAGCTACGGTTTCTCACCCAAGAAGGAAGCATCAAAGTCCCACAAAAGTTTTAGGGGTGTGAAGTGAATTACTTCATGACGCATATCAGATACTACCAATTCTTCCCGTTCCCTGGCCTCCCGCACGGGCTTTTCCGCCCCACGGGCACGGAGGCTCTTGTCCATGCGGTCGATCTCTTCGAACATGGCCTCGGAGACGCGCGCAGATCGCGGCGGTTGGGGCGCTCGGTGCGTGCGAAGCCACACTGAGTCTCTCCCACGATGTTCATCTCCTCTCTCAGATGTTCTCAGATCTTCAGACCCAGGAACAAGAAGCTATTAGTAACAAGTGCATCGCTACTAGTAACAAGTGCCTTACTAGTAGTAACAAAAAGCTATCAGAAACAAAAGGGAGGAGCTGACAGTCTCTGGCGCCCCTCGCCACCCTCTTGAACCCTTGTTCCTCTCGGCACGCTCCAACGCACAGGTCCAACCCTTCGCTGGCACAGTCCAGTCACACGAGTCTCATCATCATCAAATCCAGCCTGCAGGGCTCCGGGGCTCCAACGGTAGGAGTCGTTGGTCGGATCGGATCGGAACGCACCAGTGGGGGGAGGACAAATGCTGGGGTCACCTGCCATAGACATGGTGGGTAGTAGCTTTAGTAGGCATCTTGCCAAATGCAGATGTTTTCTCTACCATGCTTTGGGGGAGGGTTTTGACTTTGAACTCTTTTTTGCGGGCGTTGAGGGCACCAAACCCATTTGTCCTCAAGCCCGGGTTGAACCGGAATAATCACCCTGGTTGCAGGGAAGCCTTTCTACGTACCGTAGAATCTAGATTTTACTCTACCGGCTTGGTTAACGCATCTGTCCGTCACGCGCCATTGAATATTGGAGGCGGCACATGACGAAAACGCCTGGGCCCGTCAGAGAGACACCCGACCTCCAGCTTTTGTTGGGCTGAGCGCACCAAGAAGGGGTGGTTCACCAAGCCTCGTCACGTGATGAGCTGACAAAAAAGGCACATGGCAACGGATGAGAACAGCTGAACACGATATGGCTAAAAAGGATCAAAAAGGTAGAAGTCCCAAAAATGATCTACACCCGGTGGGACGATCATGGCAGCTGAGCAGGGGAAGTAGAGGAAAATGCTCTTCCAAAGGCCAAACTGTTTCACTTCCATGCTTCTTTCAGGGAGTGTACTAGGTTGGGTCATTATGACACTCATCTAACCCATCTGAATTTTGCGCCCCGGTGCGACGTCCGAAGACGTGTCGACGTGCGGAAGACGGGCGCGTGGCGTGGAGTTGATCGGGTTTGGTCAGGTCATATCCAGCCACATCCAGTCTATAGGCGCCTACTGGTAGGTGGTCAAACCAATAGAACAGCCATATATATATATATTATGTCAGGTTACTAGTATGAACAAATTTGTGGGGTTGCTTCCACATGCTTCCATCTCTTGCGTCGCACCCCATCTCACCTTGAAGCTTCTTGATGGTGCTGAGAACTGACCCTGTCAGCTTGCAATTCTGATCCTCCAGCAGTTTCCGCGCCACCTGGGAAGCAGCTGCGCCAAAGCCCCGAGCAAGCCCCGTGCAGTATACGCTTGTGCAGCTGCCATTGAAGGAGGCCTCCCCCTCTGAAAATTCCACTTTGAGAACAGTGATGGTAAAGAAACGAGAAATGGGAAGAAGTCATGAGATCAGCTTCGATATTGTCGATGAAGAGTTGTTGAGAGACACCCTCGTAGCAAGTTCAAGGATGCAAATCTTTCCCATCACCATCCAAAGTCACGGTTTGGGGGCGGGGCATTAATGATCAGAGATGAGGCGGTCAAACCCTGGTTCACGACCCCTTACGTTCATCCCCCAGATCCAATTTCCCAAGCTACATACTTACTATCCTCCCCGTATTCTAGCAAATGTCAAGGTCAAATCCAACCATCAATCAAAGAAACGCCGGGAATCCCCATGTGATCTTGCATGTTCCTCAAGATCTCAAAAAATAACACAACAAATATTAACCACGCATTTAAAAACATCTACTACTTCATGACCTGAGTTCCTCTGTGATCCTTGTGTTTTCCGGACATCTCTCTCCGTCACCGTCTCTTCTCGCGACCGGCCCCCAGGCACGTTGGACTTCAGGAAGCTCCGGTAGAGGCGCCGCTGGAAGTCCGTCGGCATCACGAACCTCCCCGGGGGGCGGAGTCTACAGAAGCCTCCAGATCCAGAGGAGACCTGTTGGAGGGTGCTGGTATATTGATCTTCCACTTGGCTTGTTCCAAGACTTGGTTGTTTCCAAACTTCGAAAAACCGTTTATAAGCATGTGGGATCATGTGGGATACATGGACACCAATTCAGACTGTTGTAGGAACGTACTAGCTTTTGGGGCATGACACCATATCAGAACCCATCTAAGGAATTCTAAGGATGCCATTTACAGCTCCAGTGAGCTCGTGCTTCCTCCAAAATAAACATCCATGTCCACATCCAGCTTCTTGGACTCTACAGGCGGGGGAGACCTGTCCAGGTCGGACTCGGACGGATCTTCCCATTACGCGGAAAATCGACCTGGACGGACTTGGTCCAATTGGACACCGGAGTACTACAAGTAATGATGAATTACCCCCTGCAATTTGGATTGTAATGAATGGTTTTTTGGAGCCTCTTCAGGTTCTCTCTTCATATTATGGGAGTGTTATTCGTCAACAGTCCACATTGGAACTTGGGATTTCACCAAACCCTTTCGCTGAGAAGCACGTTGAGGATCTGCTTGGGCGGCAGGAAGCGCGCGTTCAAGCGGTTCGTACGCCGGAGGATGAACTGGTCCGTGACGTGAGACACTTCGGACAACATCTCCTGGTGAGAGAATGAAACCACCACGAACCAGGTGAGACACATGGGTGGATTTTGCCGAGATCTGTATTTTAGAAACAACCACACAAACCGGAACATGGACCAGTGACCTGCCCTCACGCCCTTGGACTCTTCTTCTCAACTCCCATCCAGCTGCATCCGACTCCAGTGTCCCGCAGTTCATCCAAATTCATCATATCTTTAGATTGCCTCCCCTCCCCTTCTTCCGCACCCCCAAGCTGCTCCCACGTCCATCCGTCTCTTGCGTCCCGGTTGTCACCCGCATTGCTCGGCATCGCTCCTCGGCCTTCTGCCGCTCCTCCCGCGTGGCCGTGGGCTCGCGGCCGCGCAAGATGGGGTTGGCAAACTTGCGCCGGAACTCCGACAGCTCGCCGAAGACGCCTCCGCTGTTGAGTGGAGCTACCCGCTGCTCGAAGCGAGAGCGGCGGGGGATGGGGCGGAACGGGAGTGAAAGGTGGTGCAAACTCAAGTGACGAAGAGCCTACGCTTCCTGGAACAATCACGGAAGTGGATGGCATGACCCCTCTGATGACCATTTTCAGAATACCCAACAGGCGGTGAACTCCACTTCCATGATGGTTTCAGGGAGTGTAGATTGACATCGAGTTCTGGGGAACGATGTTCCACCGGCACTGGAGCTTCCCTTTGTCCTGTTCACTGTCGAGTCCTGGGACCAAACGGGTCGCCACGGGTCGGATGGGTCCAGCACAGGAGGTGCGTTCGTGTGTTGTTTGTGGTGCCCATCGGGATTCACTGCGCCTGGGTTGGCAAGGCTGACTAAGGTGAAGAACTCCTCCAAGCCTCGGCGAGGACGCGGAAACACTCCGAGTGGCAGCAGGGGTCCAACATGATCAAGCACGCCAGGTTCTACCATAGTAGAGTATCTGCTAGTCGGGTATTTTAGAAGTGTTCCTCCAAAAAACAGACTCCAACATGGGGAAATAGAGGTTACATCTAAAGTTGACTTGTTTTGAGGCAGTGTCACAGGAAGATCAAAAGAATACTGTCTAAGACGGAGAAATCACACCTCATGTTCAAGCGAACTGCTGATGTAACCGTTTCTGTGAACCTATGTGCATAGGATGTTCCCATCTTTTAAACTAAAGGAGCACCCAGAAAATACCAGCAAACGAGAGAATGGACCATCAACTGAAAGAGCCGTTGATTGATATTGGTTGGGGATGATGGGGAGAGATCCTGCTTTCATTCTGAGGCAACAAAGCAGAGTGTTGTTTTCCGGAAGCTCTTCCAACTGTCAACTCTTCCCCAATACATCGACCCGGCGCTGTTCTGGATGGGTGTGCCAGAGATCAGCAGCCGCCGCTTAGCGGGCAAGGCAGAGATGCACTTGGTGGTGGCGGCCTTGGTCACTGGTCTGCAGCAGGTGAGTGAAAAAGTCATGTCATGTCATTACGCTGTTGACTCATCCATTGACATTTCGATGAGTTTATTTACACAGTTGACTCTCTCCATCGAGGTGAAGTCACTCTGAATGAGCATATTTGCACTGTTGATGGAGAGTCCTCTGGACAAGATCAAACAGTTCACCTCCACCATTCAACAATTCATGAACCACAAGGTAGCTCTCGTCAACTCAGAGTATGATCCTCCTCGCACTCTGGGAAGCACCAGTGCACCAGTAATCGGTCATCCACATATGCGCTCTCTTGCACCACATTGCACCAGACCAGCCCACATTGGCGCCGCGCGCGGGTCACCCACGCCTCGTCGTTCTTCAGCTTGTGCGCCTCGTCGCAAACCACCAGGTCAATGCCACAGTCCTCCACCTGCGGTATATGGTGGGGAGGAAGGCAGGCTCCCGTGCCACGATGAGAGACGCTGGAAATGATTCCCTTGGACACACTTACTCATGACAATGAACAGTGTAACAGAGTGTTGGAACAGAATGTGGGTTCTTCTTTAGAATCTTCAGATGGTGCCGAGAGCAACTTTTGCCTATACTTGCAATGACTGCAACTCCTGCACTGGTGCGAATGGAACTATTGCAAATAAGCTCTCTGCTCTGTTCGTTGGCCCCCCATTCTCAGGACACCCTCCTCAGAAACTCCAAACGCATCATTTCGCAGCCCCGCTGAACGCCCACATCTGTCCCTCACTGGCTCCAAAGATAGACACACGTCCTTCACCCCATCCCACACCTCGCGGGCATGGTTCCGAAAGGTCTCGTACGAGGCGATGAGCACCTGAAGTCCGGGATGCTTCCGCCGGGGGGGGGGTTGTGGTGGCAAGATTGGTTGGAGAGGTCCAAAGTTTTTTGGGCCTGTGTCTCAAAAATGCAGCACAGGAAAAACGTGGATTAATTAAATTACGGAAGAAGCTTGGGGTGGATTCTGAACAGTTGTGAGATATTGTGATGTTCACAAAAAGAAACAATCGTCAACTACCAACCGATGTCAGGAAGGAGTTCTCTTCATTTTGGGCCATCTTACGGATCACTGGCATCTTCCTTTTACAAGTGCAAACCGACGCAAAAGGGTCCATTTGTGATGTACGAGTACAAGGTCGAGTAGGGTGAGAGTAATCTCGCAAATGCTTCAGGTCTGAGTTCCAGTCAGTTCTCTGCGAGGGTGCTTTGCAGCCACCATCAACAACAAGTACAGTAACCAGTCTTTTTGGTGTTGCCAGGAATCAGCTGCAAGCACCGAAGTTTGCTCACCGACGTTTTCTGACTTATTGTGCTGCAGGAGTTGTTGTTACCACACCACAGATGCCACATGTTGACTACCCGAGCTCAGGAGTTTCTCGGCAATCACGTCTACTGCGACAGAAATCCGTGTTTCGTTTCGTGGACCATAAACCTTGATGGCAACATTGTCCCGGCCTGGGACTTTGGCCAGCCCAGATGAACAAATGTACTGAGTTCCTCCAAATTTGAAAATGGTAAGCGCGTGCGGAGAATCCAGAGCCAAATACAATATGTCAAATTCTGAAAACTTGACCGAACAAAATGTGCAACTCCAGGAATCTCTTGACCATGTGGGCCTGGAAGATTTGCATTCAAAGCGCAAACCATCTCTGTGCCAGTCACATGGTGAATGGTAAGGCGTGGAACTAGCAATCTCCAAACCAGGATGGCAAATATAATCTACTTCTTGAACAACACGCTGGACAAATAACCCACGCTCAGTGGGCGTCATGAAGTTAAAGGGGTGTTGCTCAAATGCTTCTTGACGCCGTTTCAACCAGAGCTTTTGAGTGCGCTCCTGCAATGCTTGAAGCACCCTGTCATCCCAAGTCGTGAGGGTGGCGATGAACTGACCGATCTGCTGGCATTTCCTGAACACTGCATGTTCTGCCTCACGCCAGCCCATCGCCTTTTGTCCACTTCCAATCTTCAATGTACAAGATGTTCTCACGCGAGTCGTTGTCAGCCTACTTCTGCCATCATTATGAAGAAACAAATGCAGTCCAGAAGGAGTGTATAGAACCAACACGAGATCATCAAGCAAGTTGTGCTTGATTTCCGAAAACTGCACCTGCCACCTCCTGCCTGCTTCCTCCCAGCACATCTGCGCCGACTTGCACTGTACTCTTCGGTGGTCCCAAAGCCAGTCGTACTCTGCAGAATTGGCTCCACGCCGTCTCCCATCAGATCGCTCTCCTGGTACTGGATCTTGGATCACAGAGTTTGGATAGAGTCTCTCAAATACATTTCGAGCAACAGTTTCAATCACACTTCCACGCAGTTGCGGCGTAATCTTTCTTGCTCAGTGGGCACCTGGCATATGCAGCTGCAGTGATTGAGACATTTCCCAAGTCTCTGGCAGCATCCAGCGAAGACAGGGGGATGATGGCGACATGGCGCAGCGATGGCCTCCACCAAACAAAAACATGCTTGACGTAGGGTTTCTTTGCTAGGTTCCACATGACAAGATGACCATGAGCACCTTGGCTTGGCTGTCGGGAAGTGGTCAAAGATATTGATCATGATCCACCACATGGAATGAACATGTTGAACCTTTTAAGCACGTTTGTGGCACCCTCGTACGCAGTGTGTGGGAACCTGTTACAAGCACCAAACTAACTATGTGCACCCCCGGGACTTCCCTTCGACAGCCCAGGCACCCGCGAATCGCGGTCGTACTTGAAGGACCCAAAGGTGCCCGCCACCTGCGCCTGCGACCGAAAGGGGTGCTGCACATCAAACCACTCACATGGGCCGTCTGGGGTGCTGCACTTAACAATGGACCACCCAATGGCTGTACAAACATAGACTGGAGACTATCCTGAATCTCTATATATATATATATACACACCCTAGGGCTCCAAGTACCTTCTAAGAAGGTGTTTGGGGTGAGTTTAGAGGGTCCAAATACCTTCTGAGGAGGTACTTGGAGCCCTAGGGATAGAGCCTCTACTGTATAGGTTCCTGGTCCAGGAGCTGACCTGTCCAAAATCGAAGCAAGTGGGGAGAGAGAGAGAGAGACAGAGAACCGGTCTGAGTTTCCATAAACAGGGAATCTCTCGGAAAGGGAAGAAAACCAAACCATGCAAAATATGCTACACAAATGAGCTCGAATACAATACAAATCTGGTTTCAAAGTCGCCCGTTGTGTGATTTTAGATGACTTACCTATCTGGGGTCCTTTCAACCAATGCACTCAATGAAACCGACCCCGCCTGGCCAGTCACTGCACAGGCCTAGGTCGTCGTCGTTGTTCATCCAATTCCACCACTTCAAGTGGGAAAAAACATGCTCTATCTTTGAAGAGTCCTTTTAAAAAATATTACAAATCCCAGAGTTGATCGAATCTGTTCAAAAATATGGTTTTCCTATATGTAGGCCAAGCTGAGCCTATGGAGGTCCATTGCTTGCTCCGCAGGTGGCCACAGGACAGCACAGCTGTTCTTGGAAGATCTCCATGCAAACCAAGGGGCGTGGTACTTGCACTTTCCATGGAGCCACTTGTCAAGCTCCTCAGTTGTGCCCGCCGCAGTTGCAGGGCCCCACACAGAGTGCAGGCAAAAGGAATCGGAATCGGGATTCCAATTGTTTATATATATATATATATATGTATATCCCTCTCAAGACACTTCAAATCCCAAGTATACAGAGTGATTTCGCGTTCTGTTTTTGTACAAGGCTTTTGGGGCTGTATAGGGACTTGAAAAAGGGGTCCCTGTCCCCGGACCCTGGGTCTTTGAGGCTAGGAAAAGAAAACTGAATCTGTTTCCAAACACCTCTCTCGGACACTGTTTCATCACAAATGTCAAATGTCCATGGTCGTTTGTCTGCATCTTGCAGTATCGTGCAGTCCAAAAAAGGGTCCTTCTGAACCAATTTCAAAGGCTGCACTTGAATCAGCTTGAAGAGTTGCTGGTCGTTGTATAAGTTTCTTTATCTGCTTTTTGTACGTGTTCACCACCCCCTCGGCCCCAAACATGCCATCCCCATCCCCGAAAAAAAAAAAAAAAACACTCTCTCCGCCCAGCGTCCCCCGCCCAGTTCTTCACCAGTGAGGCTGGACACAGCACCAGGGCCTTGCGGCAGCAGCCGCGGCCGTATGGGCCGCCCTGCCAGCGCCGCGGAGGCGCGCGGGTCCGGCGTGCGTCAGTTGGGGAGGCGAAGCTGGTCAGGGGGGGTGGTTGGAGATCCTCAGAGGGGAACGCAGAAGGGAAATAAACGGTCGCAACTGGTATGCTGTTGATATTACTTTTGGGGGGAATGTTTGGATATTTGATGTTGTGATCTTTGAACGTTTTGCAGGGGGCCTTGTCAGGGGTTGTGTCGAATAGGTCAAAAGGCAATAACGATCTTCTTGGGACCACCCACATCCACCAAAATTATCGGTGCAGTGCAAGGAAAATCAAATGAATCACAATGGCGAAACTGAGACTTTGAACGGCAGAAACCAAACCAACATCGCTCAGTGACTCAATGTTAAGTTGCATCTACTTCAATACTTCGAAAAGCCCAGCGGGAAGTGAAAGAACACCTATATACTTGTGCCACCAAAACAGTAAGACCGTCTGAAACTGATGTCGCCCTCCTTCCCACGTGTCGTTCCATCCCGACCACGATGGCGTCGCCTGCGTCAGGAGAGTCCAAATCGCTGCCACGGACCTCAAGCACTGTCAGGGAGGCTCCAGAATGGATCCTTCTGGCTGGTCTGTTGATGCATGTCAAGGGGGTAAGCTCCGTCATGCTCCGTCTGTTGATGCTGGTCTGGTGTGCCAGCATCAACAGAGGACTGATGATGACTGATGGCATGGGACTGCAGGGCTGGGGGGGTCGCTCACTTCTGGGGCATTTCAGTGTCAAACCCTCTCTTGCAGCTGGGATGGTGCCGCAACTAACACCCAAACAGGCCAGAGTTCACAGGCGCAATACAACCTGGCCGGAACAAAAGAAAACATGGTACAGTACTCCTATGCACTCCTTATAATTTTTTTATCCTTCAACCGTCTTTGGAAATGAACGAAACCTTGTCATACAAAACCCACAAGATCCCACAAGTGTCCTGGCGTGGGGCGACCAATCTCGAGGAAACCCCACCAGAATGCCGCATTCCGAAGGCAGCGCAGAAATGGATAAAGTGAAATATGGCATGCCCTAATTCAGTGAGCTACGATTCCAAAAGCAACCAAAAGCAAAAGGCTCAGCTCAGGTCTAAAAGGCCGTGAAAGCCCCCCTGAGCGGTGTTCGGTTGCGCCACCTGGATTAGTTCGGAAAAAGCAGAACTGCTCTGTGCACTGGTTGGAGCGGACTGGTCATCTTTGTATCCAAGATTCATCAAGTATTGATGTCCAGCGCCCCCTTCTCATTGCGACGTGTCAGCAGCTTGCGGTCGCACGAGACTAGTGACTTCGGAGCGAAGTCCACACCGAGGCGCTGCAAGGTCTTTCCCAAGCCCATGTCATCCGCAAGGATACAGCCGCATCCGTTGAAGTCCTAGAAGCAGGAACAGAAGAACTCCGAAACTGTTGAAAGTATAGTCACTGACCATCACGACCAAAGAGATTAGATGACACCGAAACGGTCCAAAAAGAATCCCCACCTTAGACCTTCAGGTGGGAATCCATTGTCGTTGGCCAAAGTCCTTTGATCCACATCCGATACACAATATGCAATCCACTTGGTCGGATCAAACCAGGGACTTCAACGACTTCACTGGTAGATCAGCAAAATCGAACAAACCGATTAAATCCCTCTGCTAACAACCATGGTTCACACTACAACAAAAACGACCGGGCCCTGGTTATAGTGTGGCCAAGGCAGAGCACCCATTCTCTTAGTGGAAAATGGGAAGGAGGATCCGAGGCCTACGCTGAGGCCAAGAGGCCAGGCCTATGTCTGGTGCTTCCAGCGGACCACAGACACACCAGCGGCCGCCACGTGAGACCGACACAGCCCGCCCGCGCCCAGCCCGCCGTGTCGGAGAGGAGTCCTTGAGACCCATCAAGCAGTCGAAGAGGAATTGCACCTCAGGTCGCGGCCGGTGCGAAGCATCCAGGTGCAACCAATATCCAGGTGTGTCAGTGGCGCAGGCCTAGACTGGCCCAGACTAGCCCAGTGGGCCCAGGCCTCCATATATCCAATCTGGTTTCTTGTGGTGTCTTCTACAATAGCAAAATATCAAACGTTTGCGCTTAGAGTCTTAGAGACGGTGAGGCGTCCATCCAATGGAACTCCGTTCCTTCCCTCCTGCCCCCCTTCCGACGCTGTGCGGAGACGAGGTACTCCGATCCGCTGATGCTCCCGAAGCTTGCACGAGACATCGTAGTCCACCACCACTTCCTCACGAAACGGCCGGCCCAGCTGGGACCCGAAGGCACTGGGTCCTGGTGGAAACCAAGGAACTGCATCTTTGAAGCTTGGAACAGCAAAGGGACTTCTGGAGGAGAGCTAGCAGCTAGAAACCGTTTTTGATTGATGGTCAGTTCAAGGATCACTTCCACCCAGTCTTCATCTTTGATAATCAAGCGACACCTGCCTGACCCCACAGGAGCTTGAGCAAATGCAAATCACCAAAGGTCAAAACTACGACCACAGCTGCTCCGACCTTCTTTCTGGGTCACGCGCTTCAATGCGGTGAGTCACAAGTGCACCAGCATCTGCACTAAACTCCGACATCCCGCGAGGAGCAAGAAAGGTCTTATCACCTGCTAGAGGGAATTCAACAAGCCCGACATCTTTGGCACCTGTCAGGTTCAACCAACCTAAGGAGTCAAAGAGTCTAGTCTATGCATCTTCTCTTTTCGAGACCTCCGAAACTCACAGTTCTTTGGAGCCCAGTCCGTGAGCCCAAAAGAGTCTAAGCATCTTCATCACCGCCCTGTACATCCCCAACAAAACGTCCGGTATGTTCCTCCCAGAGACCTGAACTAGGACCCTGTACATACAGCGAACCGCTCAAGTCGCCCCACGCTGTCCCACGCGAAAGTCTCTCCCCGGATGGGCCATGGGATGGGCCACTGGAGCTGTGCAAGAGACTCTCTGCGATCCCATCGGAACTAGCTCGCTGCACTCCGCCACCCCCCCCCCCCCGCGGTCCTTGCGCCGCTCCGGGTTGTCCTCGGCGGGGGTCCACAGCACCAGCTTGTGGGAGGCCACCGTGGCCTCGTCGATCACCTGCGGACCAAGGAGGTGAAATACACCATGAGGTGGGTAAGTGAATGAGGTTATATAGGTGATGCTCTTGTGTTGATAGTGTATGACAGTGATGATAGCAAAAAGTGCACTCTCACTAGGGAGAGGGACAATGACATATAATTTCATATAATCATATATATATATATACAATAAGATATAAATGTAATTTTAAAACAAAAATAGATGGATGGATACTAAATGATACAGTACTAAGTATAAATGAGTGAATCCATGGGCTTGCTCACCTCTTGGATTACCTCCATGACCAAACCAACCGTCCCATCCAACCGTTCCGCATGTCGCCTCCGGCGGCTTGGCGTCGTCTTCCACGAAGCGCTTCACCGTGGCGACCGACTGGGTGGAGCCGCGAATCCGGGCGCCCAGGGTCCTGGTGCACGGCCAGCACCGGCAGCATGGCCGGACTCGGAACTTCAGGCCGTGCAGAAGTCCGACCTTCTTTGGCCCTAAAAAGGGGGGGGGGACCCTCTGAGAGTCCAACCCTCAGCAACCCTTAGCAGGATCCGTTTTAATATCCTTTCAGGCCATTGGTCTCCAGGCAATGCTTTGATTGCAACGCACCGAAAGGACTGGGACTTATGGGACCCTCTCAGTACGGGACTCATATGGGACCGGGGACCTCTTCCTTCACGGAATTTCTTCAAACAGTTTTCATGGGGTCATGAGTCATCGGGGGCTGTTGAGCTTATATCCTTAGCCGCCTTAGCGCACTTGGAGAAGTCATAAAAGCTCATCGCCCCACTCCCCTGCCAGTCCCGTGTCCATCCGCTCCTTGTCCCAAAACCCCGGTCCGCCCGCGAAACCGCCCGCCAACCCCGCCGCGGCAGGCGCACACACCACGCGCACACCACCGCGCCTCTTGCCAAGACCTTCAAGGGCTTGACCTCTTGGACACTTGAAGGGCTGCCAAATGATGGGTTTCTCCTCTTGCGTCAGTTGCAACATCGGCATGATGGACTCCCTGGCCGGCGTGTTGGGATCGTTTCCTCCCACCGTCCCACCGTCCCGCCGGTATGGGGCAAGTGCGAGCACCAAGGGTTCCCTAAAAACAAGTGGTCAAACACCCCAAAAACACGAGGTTCTTCTTTCGGAAGAGAGAAAGGGTCTACATTCCAGGTCTACTCTGCGTTCTTGGTTTGACTTGCTTGGTCACTCCTTATTGGAGGCTTCCTACCACGTGGCAGTCAGGAGTGACGTCTTTCTCAGACAACTCGACCTCTTAGACCTTCCCGATCCTTCCCGAGTGCTCCAAGCCATTGCCCGGACCATTGGAACCACTGGGATGTCAATGGCGATCCGATTCCTTTGGGTTTGGGCTCCAACCCGGACCCACATCACATACAACCCATTGAGCTGCAGGCTGCTAGCCATTCATCCCCACGTGCTATCTCATCAAAACCTGGCTACTACGCTTCCCTACTCTCTCCTCCTCCCCGATTCTCCAGACTTTTCGTTCCTGGCCTAATGATGTACATTCGCCCTTCTGGCCCCAGCTGCACCGGTGACTTGGCCGCGGCCGCAGCTTCTCGCAGTACCACCGAAGAGGGGCTTGCGGCGCTGGCAGCGCTGGAGGCAGCGCCGGCGCCTGGTGGAAAGAGTGTTTTGGAATGTGTTGGAAAGGAAGAGGCGTACATGCCGCTATGATATTCTAACACCCTTTGTGTATAATTGTGGGATATTGTGTATTTAATACGTATGATACTTACAAAACAAATTACAACAATGTCATCACTGATGAGTAATCAGGAAAGATATGTTGTATAATAAGTGGACGCTCACTTCTGTCCCACCAAAACAGCTCTTAAAGTTGCAGAAAAAAATCCAGCAGGTCAGCAGATGACATGAAACCCGGAAATTCGATCAGAAGGGAGTTTGGAAAAAATAGGCTAGCCCATCAGCCATTCCTCAAAGTATCTCAAAGTGGCTCCTGCCGTTGTGAGCCTCGATCAAATCTCGCATCCATGAATCGACTCCTAACACAAGAATGTCCCACAGAATGTGTTTCCCAAAGCTCCCTCCACCTGGATCGAACATGTCGATGAAAATCACCCCATTTCTTATCCATCTTTACCAGGCTAGGCCAGCTGTTTCCCAACATCCTGCAGCTTAGACTATCCACCAGCTCCGGAGCCGGAGTCCATCTGCCTCGACCGCACGCCGGTTTCGCGGCGGCGCTGCTCGGGGGCCGGCCGCGCTTGGGGGCCATGGTGAGGCCGTTCACGAGGGGAGGACCCTCAATTACTGGCGAGGCTTCATGCACTCCGCGCCGCGTTGCTGCGTTTCGGAAGGCCCGTGTTTGGCGGAGCATCGAGATTGAGCATCCATGCAAGAAGGTTTCGGAGTTTTTGTGGTCCATATTGTTGGGTTGCAGTAGATGTCAACATATTGTTCACTGGGTTTCAAGAGGATTTCCCATCTGTGGGTGACTATGAGGCCGGGGCCGGGCTCCAAGAATCAAAGGGCGTAGAGTCTAGAGGATTCTTCATGCTCGAGTTCTGGCATGTTGATTCCGGACTCTGCATGGCTCAGGAGAATCTGAATCTGCATGAGCCCACCTGGACAAATGGTTCTTTCATATTCAGGCATTCTTCAGCCATGCTCTTCAGCTTTCTTCAGCCACTTGGCTTGCGGGATGTCTGGATTGCCTCGCATGCCTTTCTCGGTTGCCTCCCATGCCGTTCTCAGAAGTATACAGTGGGCCAGTGGGTCACTCACTATGCCTTGAATGAGACAAAAGTACCTCCTACAACACCACTCCAATTCAGGCACATCTCACACCCACCTGATCCCACCTGTATCATGATGAGACTCAGATTTTGAGTGGCACCGATGCCTCATGAAACCATCTGAAGATTCTCAGAATTCTTAGAGCAGAGCATACTCATGTGTTCCAGTGCATCTCTGGTTCGACCAGGTTAAACCCCAGGTGTGCTGTCTGATGATCTACATCAGCCAGAGGATCTCTTCATGCAACCCGTCACCGGACGCCGGACACCCTGGAACCCTGGACCAAAAAGGCGGGCTGCCACGGGGACCACGTCAAGGCTTCCCTCCAACGAGCGCTGATGCTCCTGAAGCCAGGCGGAATGGAACCTTCTCAAAAAATGACTCTATCATGGAAAAGAACAAACCGTATCATGCGTGCTTGGAACATTCTAGATATTGCACCTGTTATGTCCCTCAAAGTCGCCGTTGGGACTTTGGGGTGCTCAACCATATTCGTCCGGTTGCACGGGTAGCACTCTTCAAGACTGGAGTTGACCAGCAAAGCCAGACCCCCCAATCTGAAAGTCATTTAATTTGTTGAACGACTTGGGAACACTGAGCCAACCCGGGTGATGCCAGGCCGAGTAAAAATCACCACGACTGACCGTCTGTGGGTGTTGCGTGTCTTTTGCCGAGGTACAGTACTGAATAGCTGAAGTGTTGAAAAGCCACAGATACATTCTATTCAGTCAACAACTGCCCGTAGATACTAGTAGTTTGGGTCTATCCTATTACCTGCAACAGTGGGTGATGAGGGTTAGTAGAGGCCTGGTCCAAATATCCTATTACCCGCCGCATCGCCGCGTCGTTTCGCGCTCCTTGAGCCTTCGGCTGATGCGGCCCTCCACACCCCAGATCCTTGGTGCTGCCAGCGACTCGACGAAGCGTGGAGATGTTGCACCCTCCCACCCGGGAGGAGCTATATACTACATATATAATGTTCTCTGCTGTTGCAAGGTGCTAGCTGATGCTAGATGGTGTCGCCCCCTCTGAGAGAAACAGGTGCTTTCAAAACAGTGAACTACGGTGTTCTTCAAGTTCTTTATCAATTGCCAGGTGGTTTGGAGGCTTCGCGCAGAGGCTTCGCGTGTTGACGCCAAGAGGCTGCAACTGCCCTTCGCTGGAGGTACAGCACACCTGGAGGTACTGTCCGAGGACTGGCGAGGCTATGACTCGTGAAACAGGCACTGTTCAAAGTCAAGAGAACGGGTCACAAGGGGGAGAAGATTGAAAAAATAGACATATCTTGAATAATTTTGAGTTGGGAAGGCTTGTCGAGCAACAGAATCATGAACCACATTCAACATCACTCCTCATCCTCCTGACCCCCGCCTCGAGGCCGCTGGGTGACAGTACAGACCAGGTCAGTGGCTCCCCGGTGTGAAAGCACTGCAGCTCCTTCGAAATGAAGATTACACTCTACTTCTACGAGGATCTACGGAGTAAATAGCATCTAATAGCACGATTTCCTGACAAGGTACGGTTTGCTAGCACTATACTTCTACTTCTGAAGCATCTCTCCTACATCTGGTGAGGATCTCTGCATCAACGAACATGTTCTCCTGCTTACAGGGGGATAACACATCCTGCTGGCAAACATGTTCAATTTAGATAGAGAGAGAGAGAGAGCAAAAAAAAGCGCAGGGACTTGATGTGAGCCTTAAATGTTCATAGCCCGGAAGAATCCATCTGCTGTCATCACTCTCATCACTTTGAAGGCAATCGATCTTCAATTAAACAACAAATCTCAGGGGTCTACGGATGTGTTCGGTGTACTGCCTTCGACCCATTGGGTGCACGATGGTGCACGTCACGACTGAACATGTTGCTTGTTCCCATTGTCATCTTCTCTCGTTCCCCGGTCTCCCAACCTCTCGTAGACCGATCGACCCATCTCGACCGATCTCGCCGTCGCCGATATCGCTTCGATCCGATCGCCTCTTGACCGAGCATCGGCGTTCGACGGGTGCGGAGGTTTTTGCCGGGTCCTTCCGCAAGGCGATGTTGAAGATGCGGATGCAGCCGTCTTCACAGGCCGTACCTTGAGGATCAGGTTTGGAGCTTTTGAGGGGGGGGGTCCATCGGTCCCTGCCATAGATGCCCGTCAGTTGGGGTGGTTTCAGGGGTCAAGGTAGGCATGGAGTGTCTGGGATATAGATCATGGTGCCTAGGTTCCCTGTGCAGCTACGGTCATCGGAAGCACCCCAATTGGATTGTCTCACTTTATCACGCCCATGGATCCCGAACATATGGCCATCATGGGATCCATGGGGTGATCCCAGGGGCCGTGTCATTGCCATCCACGTAACCATGATCTTCCCTGATATCCAGGGAGTGTAGCTCCTTCATTCACTGACCAAACCACTCCCTGAGAATAAGAACTGGAAGGGATCCTGCCATGTCCTGTGTGATTTCAGGGATCCTGCCATGTCCTGTAGGTACAGTCAGGACATGGAGTCCAAGCTGTTGATGACTTGATGCACTTTGAATCTTGTCATGCCAATTGACTTAGCTGCCATGTCTTGATGCGTCTTTTATCGTTTTTCACATCTTCTAGACCCAGTGGTCAACTCATTGTGGTCACAGAAGATCGAACGTCCCCACGCGGATCGATCCGTCTCTTCTGCAGCTGTTCGTTCGTTATTAGCCAAGAGGTGTCTCGAGGGGAAAGCCCATTCCAAGCGTGGGGTCCGACGGTCCGTTCCCCAAAAGGCGTTCTCTTTGCATCCGTTTCTTCGCGCTGCTCTTTGTGGAGCCACACGGGCAATCCCTTTAAGTACATTCCACATGGTGCATCAACCAACTTTTCGTGGTCTGATATGTTATTTTCACCTCCTGCGAGCCGCCTTGCTGCTCACCCATCCCCACCTCGCAGGCTGCTTGCAGTCAGCCTGTCCTGCTTCTGAGTGGCAAATGCACTTGTTGCACGGGGTGAAGCTCACGGTACGAATAAAGTTCCTGATCATCGGGAGTTCGCGCGCTTGACGCGCCACGCGGATGGGAAAAAGACATTTGTATATATAATTGGCGTAATTGGGCGAGTGCTGCTCCCCAACGGGTCGCGTTCGGACTTCTTCGGAGAATGAGGCGTTCGAGGTCTAGGACGAGGTCTAGGACGTCTAGTGTCTTTCAACAGGTAGAGCCGGGTAGAGCAAAATCCTTTTCATCTTGTTGCATGTTGCATGAAGTTCGAACCCAGGACGCCAATCATTGATTTGTTTTGCAATTTTTGCAGGCTCAGAAGCCTTGGAATTGCTCAACAAACGACACAACAGCTGGGATTTGCTTAAAGGAACCGGGCAAAGAGTTTATTTTAATGTCCCATCAGGTGATTCACTCATCGGTCATCGGGAAAACAACAAACATCAAGCAAAACCAAACACCACGTCAGTCTCGGTCCTTCCGTCCTGCCAAGTTGAAGCATTTTTTCGACCGAGCAGCATCTCTCGTGAAAGGGATCCAATCCTTATGATTCTTGCTGGAGTTTGGGGGGTTCCAAGGATTTACACTACTCCCTGCAATTTGGGACCTGGGCCATAAAACCCCAAAGCAGTCCCCAAATGAATTCGTCGGTGGGCCCAGTCTTCTGCCTCTGCCTCATGCACGCCCCAAGTCACCTCCGCTTAGCAAGGACCATCCGTCCGAGACCGGTCACCGGTCTGACCGCGCACGCTGACAGACGTTGACGGTGGCGGCCCAAGGGGCGGATGTTTGAAGGTGGCGACTTGATCAAAGCTGCTGCGCACGTCGAACACGCGCGCCTCCCTGAGGTCGGACGGACCGTGTCCCGGTGGTTGCCAGGTACGACCGGGGCGGAGGTAGTGTTCGGGGTAAAGGTGATGCTGTTTAGGAGTGGTCCACTTGTTTTGGGGACAATTTCAGGGGTCATGTGTTGTCCAGAATGGCCTTACAATCTATCATGTAAGTTGCAAACCTCTGTTCTGTACAGGTATCAAATGGTATCAGTGCGAGTGATTTGCAACCTTACATGCATACTATGGGCGACCATCGGATCCGCTGTTCAGGTGTCGACGAAGCAAACATTCTTTCAATTGCAAGCAGAATTGACTATCCAAATCATGTGCCCTTCGATCAGGCACTACGTACAACTCTTTTCGTCTCTTCATTCCGGTCTCTACAAGTCTTTTTCAGGAAACGTTCCTCTCTACTGAAAGGGGTGAGTTCGAATCCACGGATCTATTGCGTGTAATTATATGTTTATTTGTCCATTAGACTCTATAGACTATACTTGAGGACAACCCGTGACGCCCCAAATGCCCCACCAGCCATCCCCAGCGAACACCGAGCGAAGCAGAACACCGAACACCCCGAGGCCGAGGGGCCCGTCCAAGCATCCGCTGCCCAGGTATCGATGGTTGCTGGAGAAGGCCACGCAGCTCACGCTGTCTGGGTGTTCGATGAGGCCCAAGGGTGCTGTGA